TAATTAACATTTATAGAGATTTAATGTTAAATGATACTACATTAAATTAATAATCCAAACAAAGAACAGTAAGCTAAATGAAGAGATTAAAATAAAGATTAATTTTAATTACTTAATTAAAACCTTAAATTAACAAAACTGCATGATTATTTCATAAGATATTCTGATAATTTATTTAATTTATTACTATTTATAAACATAAATCTTAATAGATATAATTAATAATTTTGTAAAATTAGTTTATAAATAGTAAAAGATATATTTAATAACAAAGATAATAATAAAAAAGATATGACAAGGATTAAAAAAATAAAGTTAATCTTTGAATATAATCTAAACTATATAACAAAGTTAAAACAATATGATATTGATTAATTTTAACATTACTCTCAATTCAAGATAATGTATCAATCAACTGTTAATTGACAAAGATATTAAAAAACTTTGAAAACATATTAAAAAATATTATAATTTTGAAATTATTAAAATTTAAGGAGATAATTATATCTTCTCTAACCGTATTATATGAATCTTAATTAATGATTAAATTGAGCTCAACATGAAATTTTACATACATCAAATAATAAACAGTTATTACACAATGTACACAGATTTTTCAAGAGTCAGAACTATATAATCGTTGTTAACTTTAAGATTATTTAAACGAATTTAATTAAAATCTAAAAAAAAAATGTATTTCATTACTTCATTATATTAAAAACAGCCCTACTTTTTGATGAACTCATCAACTAGTTAAATTTAAATTAATTTATTAAGAAATTACCAAAAATTTATATTGAATAATTCAAAAGCAAGTCTATTGAAGCAAATTGAAGAAAAAAAAAAAGGAAACAATGATTTGTATGGTTATAATTCATTATGAAATATGTTAAAATGATTTAATTTTTTTATCAATAAACCCCCTCCAATATTAGATTAATTGGATAAGAAATCGAGAAAACTAACTAAATATGTATAAAAAAGAAAATCAAATCATTAATTATGAAAAGATCATAAACAAGAGGAATGAATCTATCAATAATTGAAGTCAATTTTAGTATAAATAAAAATATTCATATATCATAAAAATATTCTATATTATAAAAAAATCAAGAAATGCAGATGTTGAAATGTATTCTCAATAGCATAATTAACATCTACTACAATCAATTCCAAATCTACACAAAGTCCTATCTTCTATTTAACAAAAATGCACAAGATACTTTTATAGATTTTGCAATATAACTTAAAGTTAGAGTAATAGAAATTCATTATTAAAAATAAAAAAAATATGCAAGCCCATTTTTAAGAGAAGGAAGCTCTAGCTGACATCTTTGGTCATATAAAAGATGTAGATGAACAAAAGTTTGGTGTCATATTAGAAAAATTAAGAAAGGAAAAAGTTTAAGACATCATTGGATATCTTTCAGAAAACGTGAATCAAAGGCAATTAGAATCATGTATCTTACAAAAAGGAGTTGATATAACCCAGGCTGATAAAGAATAGAAATTGACTGTTGTAAGAAATGAAATCAAATAAATCACAGAAGTCGTAAAAAAATTAAAAGATCATGACTTTAATAACATAGACTTTTCCTCTGAAGAAAATGAAGAATCAACACAAAGACTAATTCAAAGCATCAAGGATAATATAATGATCATTAAATTTTTGTAATTTTTAGTTCAACTCACATCCATAGATGAAGCTTTTATGCAATGTGGGTCTAATTCATTACATACCTTAGTTAAGATGAAGGTGGACCTTAGAAACAAAATTTTTGAAAACATAAAAATCTAAAATACTTCTTTGGTGGGAGCTAATTTTGTAAGATGTAATTTTAGTGGATCCTTATTTGACAATGTAGATATCAGCGGATTGAACTTAAATGGAGCTGTATTATTGAATTGTAAATGGAAAAACTTAAGAATCTTGGAATTAAATAAATTAGATGGTCATAGAGATTTAATAGGCTCAATTTGTTTCTCTCCTGATGGAAAAACTTTAGCTTTTGGTAGTTTTGATTGTTCTATTCGTCTATGGGATGTCAAAACAGGATAATAAAAAGCCAAATTTGATGGTCATAGTGCTTGTGTTAGCTCAGTCTGTTTCTCTCCTGATGGAAATACACTAGCTTCTGGATATAAAAATGGCTCTGTTTTATTTTGGGATACTAAAACAAGAAAAAAATAAGCCAAATTAGATGGTCATAGTGGTTGTATTAACTCAGTCTGTTTCTCTCCTGATGGAAATACATTAGCTTCTGGTAGTGTTGATAAGTCTATCCGTCTATGGGATGTCAAAACAGGATTATAAAAAGCCAAATTAGATGGTCATA